GACCTTTTTTTGACTTTTGAGAAGTAGAGGGACGATTGGGAAGAGGTTGTCGTACGAGGTCTCGTCGATACTGAGGCTTGTAAGAGAGAACTCGAAGAAGCGAGATTAGACTGAGGCGTTGAAGTAGGGACGTCTGAGCCGAGGACAGCAAAAGGATTAGATACAGGAGTGATTATGGGAGAGGTAACCACAGAGGTGGGTGTAGAAGATGGGATTACCAGAAGTGGGGGGACGTTTTGAAACACGGGAATAAGAAACACGTGGGAGTCTCCCTTGGAGGCGGAGATGAAAACTGCCATGGCATAAGGAGACCTTCTGTCTCTTTGAGGTAACAGATTTCCCGCTCGTTTAAATAGACCTGACAACGGCGAGAGTACGAAGGGTGAGCCTCATGACAGTTAAGGCAAGAGGGAGATCGATTGCAAGACGTATTAGAATGGTCATCGGCACCACAGACTGGGCATTCGGCGATAGATCTGCAATATTTCGCTGGATGGCCAAATCGCCAGCAATTTCTACACTGTTGTGGTGTAGGGATCACCTTTCGAACTTGTAACCGATGTCCTGCTATATAAACTGAGGATGGGAGTTCTCGGCTGTCAAAAGTTAAACGAGCCACATTGCTAGGGTATCGTCTCCGCCCACGGGCAGGAAAAACGTAAGTGTCTACCTTGAGGATTGGGAGATCTTGGAGTTCCAGCTGTTCTAGAATGTCGGTGCCACATGTCTGGAAATTTGTTGAACTATGGTATGGGGCAGAATGACGGTACCACTACAAGAATTGAGGGAATGATGTTTTTCAAGGGTGACAGGAACAGTATCTATATGGGAAAGACGAGAGAGCTCACGAGCCTGGGTAGCATTCTGTACGGTAATGATGCGCGTACTGCTCTTAAGAGCATGAAAGAGAAATATCTTTACCAACATGGCGTAGGAGTGCCTTTGCCAATACTATGGTCAGAAAGATAGGCAGTAGAGGAAGTTGTCGTAAAGTGAAGAATTTAGTCCACTGTTCAGTCATGAACTGAGCGTGGAAAGGTAGTGAAGGACGTGTCGATCGTTTCTGAGAAGAACGAGAAGGTGAAGTGGAGAAGTATCATCAGCAGGTAATTGTCGTTGACCTTAGGCGTGGACCAGAGTTGGTCCGACGTGGAATGGGTCGGCGATTTGAAAATTGCCGCACCGTAGAGGGAGAGGCCGGAAGCATAGTCAGAGGAGAGCGAAGGTCTGATAAATCGAAGGAGTCAGTCGAGGCCTCAGTACCTGAAGCGGGTGAGGAAACAGCACCGGCAATAGGTACAGAGGCATGAGGAATGTCTGAAGAGTGGTCCAAAGACGAGGCGGGGTCAGAACGGGGTGCGGTATCAAGAAGGGGCCCGGGGGTACCAGGTTCATGGACTAGGGCTGCCATGGTTAGGTTACTTCTTTCTTTTTGTTTTTAAGAAAAAAAAAGAAAGAAGAAAAGAAAATAAAAATAAAAAAAAGAAAAAAAAAGGGGGGACCGGGGAGGGATAGTTCCTAGGAGGAATGAAAGGGCCAGAAATCTCCCTCCGCGCCCAAGAGGACCTCAGCACCGCAAGTAGCGCAGATGCAGTCATGGAACCCGTGCCATACCCTACCCATCATGGTAGTAAACTAAAAATCCGGGATAGCAACCTCACATCTGCCGAGCTACTCGTGAGGGACAAAGAAGAAGGGCGGCCCCGGATATCCGCCACAAAGCATACTCTTCGGACACACCCGGAATCCGAAAGGTGGCTTCAGAGATACACTCGTCGCCCGAAAGGACACCCAAGCTACTCCGGGGAGATACGGAGAGGGATCGGGACATCCCCAGGCGATCCTAAGATTTCCACGGCAAAACTACGCCCACCGCTAAGAAAACCTCAAACGGAAATGGGATGGACCCGGTATCCTTGTCTCCTACCCAGGAAACTAGCGGCCTGTGGGAGAAATCCCAAAGGACAAAAAGAGGAAGGGCCAAAAAAAGGGAGGAGTGGGGAGGGGGAAAAAAGGGGGTGGGGAGGATGGGATAGGCGGAGGGGGAGATGAGATTGGGGGTTTAATTAGGTTCGGTCTGAGGAAGAAGACCGATAGGTCTAATTCCTCTGAGCCAAGAGCCTCTTCACCACCCGCAAGGAGCCCCCCTTGAAGAGGACTTCGACCCTAAGTATCCTCGTATTGCAGTTGGCTTGTGCCTTGCTTCCCCAATTCACACAGAATATATGTGTATTTGCGGCAAGCACAAGCAGACCAATTACGTTCTACATTGTTCGTAAACTGTTCCAAAACCAAAGGGTTGGTATGCAAGGACACAATGAGGTCAACGATCTCATAAAGAGAACCCTTTCTACAGCTGAATGCCCAGCGAGAGGGGAAGCCCCGATCACTAGGCAGCCAACAATACCACAACAGCAAAACACCCCGATGGGATCAGCATCTATCTTGGAAGGAATGGCCAAGCTCTTGCATGGGACTATACCTGTGTGTCCACAACTGGCTGACACCTACATCTCCATCGCAGAGGGGCGACAGGGAGGAGCTGCGGACCACAGGGAGGAGTACAAGATCAGCAAGTACAGGGACAAAAAGCCAACAGTATCTAATTTGTCCAGTGGGATCAGAGACCTTGCGGATTCATAGGGAAAAAATGCCAGACGTTTCCTTAAGAATTTGGGTTTCAGACTCATCAGACACCAGGGACCCAAGGGCAGCACTTTCTGCTCCAGCGCCTCAGCGTGGCCATCCAGAGGGGAAATGCTTGCTGCTACCTGGCTCGCGTTCAGGCCTTCGGAGGAGTGGAGGAAATTCATGATCTTTAATACATTGTACCATTGTATTCATGTTTGTGTTTTTCTGCAAATGTATTCTGTTTACTAATAAATGTTCACACAGAATATATAATATAGGGGGTTGTAGGAGAAATATATATATATATAGAACACACACACACCACACACACACACACACACACACACACAAACACACACACACACACACAACCACACACACGGGACATAGGCATATACGCATAAATAAAAACTAAGTGTGCTAAGAATGTTACTAAGAAAGATCTTGAAACAATGGTTTGATTATAGATAAGTATATATTTAAAACATTTAAGAAAATACTGGATTAGCAGCAGAGCAGTAAAAAACCGGAAAAATTTCCTAAGTAACACAGTTGCAATTATTTCTTCTGGTAGCTTTAGAAATACTTTAGAAAAAATATGAGAGTTAAATTTCAAGTTTGTGATAGATCTGCCTAACGCAAACGTTATTCGTGAAGCAGTGTTCCTCTATTCTAATGTTCGTATAGCTAAATTCTAACTGAAAAATACTCTGTAGAAATATGTTAACTGGTAGCATCAGAGAGCAATAATCTACAGGGGAATGGACGGAACACATCGACTCCTGATTTCTCCAACTCGTCCTCATCTTCTTCCTATTGTTTCATTCTCTGTACTGGGACTGAAGAGAAACCACTGATCTGACGAAACTCTCCAGAATTAAAGAAACCCCAAAATGTTTGCCAGAGGTTGTCTCAGTCTTCAAGTCGTCGACTTTTTAAACCAATTACATCACAACTCCTCCTTAGACACGAGCAAAAATTGTATATTTCTATATCCAGTTGAGATCCTCTTCACCAGAGCTGTTGAGGAGGATCTCACTTGAGTACGAATTATTAAAACAAACGTTCTTATGCTGTTTCGTGACGTGAGTTATATCCTCTCCAGTATACGTGGATATACTGAGCATTATAACTGAAGGTCAAACAATAGAGATGGAGGTATTCGCTTCGTTATGGAAGCGAATTATTCTAAACAAATATTGCTAATTGGAGATATAACTTTGGTGAATATATACGCATATTTTTTTTATACAAATGCGTCCAGAACACTGATAACAGTTGGGAGTAATATAAACTAATATTTCAGGAATACCACCCCCATTTTTTTAAAATTTGCATTTTGAATCTGATGGTAACTTGTTTTTTTTAAACAAGCGCACTCTTACAGCTGGAACTGATTAAACTCAAGTACCAAGTATTACGAATATACGAAGGCGTAATTGTTTAAGCGTCGTCGGTATTGATTATACGCTACTGTCGGTTATCACAAGCTTGACAATCATTTAAGTGATTTGAAGGCATGATACCCAAACTCTAAAAGTCTCTCTTACATCTAAATACACTAATTACATACCTGTGAGTTTACAGAGTTCTATGAATGCATATTTTTTTTTGCAGGGTACGAGTCCACTTCTTCAGAGAGCAGGCATTGTACTTCCCACCTCTACCCCTCCTTCAGAGTACAAGCACCTTACTTCTCACGTCTACCCCTCCTTCAGAGTACAAGCACCTTACTTCCCACCTCTACCCCTCCTTCAGAGTACAAGCACCTTACTTCCCCCTCTACCCCTCTTTCAGAGTACAAGCACGGTCTTACCGGGGCCTACTACCCACATTGAGAGAGCAGTTACTGTATTTCCCACTTCCCACCGTCCTTCAAAGTGCAGGCACCCTACTTCCCGTCTCCATCCCTCCTTCAGAGTGCACGTAATGTACTTCCCATCTCCATCCATTCCTCAAAGAAGACACTGTACTTCCCACCAATGTCCCTCCATCTTAATGCAGAAACTATGCCTCCCACTTCCACCCCTCATTCAAAGTGCAGGCACTGTACTTAACACACCATTCCTCCTTCAGAGTGCAGAATTTGCATGACTCACAAAATCGTAATGACACGATTGCAAACAAAACATACCACGGGCGGGGATAGAACCCGCGATCAGAGAGTCTTCAATCGCGGGCTTATATTCCCTCCCGTGGTATGGTTTGGTCAGAATTTGCACTTCCACTCTCCACCCCAACTTCAGAGATTGGACATAATTTTCACCCTTCTCAGCATTCATTCGGGGTTAAGCCATTGTACATCTCACATTCACACTTCCTTCAGAGTGCAGACACTATATTTCCCACCTCCACTAATGTAAACAAATATGGCCAACAAGCTCAGAGTAATTAAGAGACATGAGCAAATGCTAAAAGCAAAACTTAACCATCAAGTACACGCTTATATGACTATTGCTGAGGAGAAGAGACACGTACAACGTCTGGCAACATTTATTAAGGAAGATATCGTCTGCGTTACGGTCTTCATTTGTCTAATACAGGCGAGGGAGTCTTACATTCTTGATGCGGACGATAGATGCAGCAGTTGAAGATGTGGTCACTCGTGGGCAGTGCTCGCTGGTTGTATTTTTATCTCAGGGGTCAGCTGAAGCAGTTGGTCTACGTGGAGACAATTCATTATCAGGTGGAATTGCGAGAGTGCATCCATCTGCGCATGAAAATTACTACAGGTACCCACTCACCGTTACGTGTTCGGCTGGTATACGTGTCTGAGTTAACTGTCAGCACCGTGAACAAGGTCTATAAAATAAAAAATACTGGATTACTGCGTTTTCTAAACTTTTCCTTATCGTCAACACAACTACTACTACTACTACTACTATACTGCCTACTACTAATACCAGTACTACTACTTAATACCAGTACTACTACCAATACCAATATCCTACTAATACCAGTACTACTACTAATACCAGTACTATACTACTACCAGAACTACTACTACTAATACCAAAACTGCTGCTACTGCGCTCTCCTTCTGTTACCGTTGCTGCTGCATTCTTACTGCTACCACCACTACTATTACTACTACAATTACCACTACTACCACCACCTCGTCTCCCACTTCCGTCATGTCTTCTGGCACATCTTTCACACACCACTCCCAAACATTACCCACACCTCATCTTTCTTTTGTAATTACTAACAACCTTTACCTTTTCGTTGCACAAATTTCACCACTAACTACGCCTCCATAGCAAAGACTATTAACTTCATAGCCAACCTCAGAGAAGAATGCCCCTAACTACCCTCTTCCCCTGACCATAAGTTAGTAACTTGACCTTCCTTAACTACACCTCATGCCCCAGAACTAATTACTTGCCTAAAAACAGATCACTAAGTACGTTTCAGACTGACGCCGCTAATAAAAGATCTCTTGCCGCAGGCGGCGCCGCGGGAGTGTCCATCGTCCGGCTGCGGGTGCCCGAAGTGGTGGAAGCCAACGCCACTGCGGTGGTCCTTGACTGTGACTATCAAGTGGACGAGTGGGAGCGGCCCGGCCTCGTAGTCAAGTGGTAAGTGCCCATCAGCTTTTTAAAGTGGTAGGTGTCCGGCCTCATAGTCAAGTGGTAAGTGTCTTGTCTCGTTGTGAAATGGTAAGTACCTGGCTACATGGTCGAGGGTTAAGTGCCTGGCCTCGATGATAGTCTGTCATGCTGAGTGTGGTCGTGATCTAGGTAGTGTGGTCGTGATCTGGGAAGTGTGGCTGTGATCGAGGTAGTGTCGCTGTGATCTAGGTAGTGTGGTTGTGATCTGGGAAGTGTGGCTGTGATCTAGGTAGTGTGATTGTGATCTAAGTAGTATGGTTGTGATCTAGGTAGTGTGGTTGTGATCTAGGTAGTGTGGTTGTGATCTAGGTAGTGTGGTCGTGATCTAGGTAGTGTGGTCGTGATCTGGGAAGTGTGGCTGTGATCGAGGTAGTGTGGCTGTGATCTAGGTAGTGTGGTTGTGTTCTAGGGTTAGTGTTGGTTGTGATCTAGGTATAGTGTGATTGTGATCTAAGTAGTATGGTTGTGATCTAGGTAGTGTGGTTGTGATCTAGGTAGTGTGGTCGTGATCTAGGTAGTGTGGTTGTGATCTGGGAAGTGTGGCTGTGATCGAGGTAATGTTGGTTTGTGATCTAAGGTAGTGTGTTGTGATCTGTGAGGTGTGGCTGTGATCTAGGTAGTGTGGTTGTGATTAGGTAGTATTGGTTGTGATTAGGTAGGTGTGGTTGTGATCTAGGTAGTGTGGTTGTATCTAGGTAGTGTGTTGTGAATCTGGGAGTGTTGGCTGTGATCTTAGGTGTGTGGCTGTGGTCTATTGTAGCGTGGTTGTGAATGCTAGGTTGTGGTGGCAGTGGTCTAGGTAGCGTGGCTGTGGTCTAGGTAGTGTGGTTGTGATCTAGGTAGTGTGGTTGTGATCTAGGTAGTGTAGTTGTGATCTAGGTAGTGTGGTTGTGATCTAGGTAGTGTGGTAGTGATCTGGGAAGTGTGGTTGTGATCTGGGAAGTGTGGCTGTGGTCTAGGTAGTGTGGTTGTGATCTAGGTATAGTGTGTAGTGTTATGGTAGTGTGGTTGTGAATCTAGGTAGTGTGGTTGTGATCTGAGGAAGTGTGGTTGTGATTTGGGAAGTGTGGTTGTGATCTTGGTTAGTGTGGTTGTGATCTAGTATTGGTTGATGATCTAGACTGGTGATTTGTGATCTAGGTAGTGTGGTTGTGATCTGAGGTTAGTAGTTGGATCTAGAAAGTGTGATTGTGATCTAGGTGTGCCCCCCCCCCCCCTCTGGAGTTGTGATCAGGTAGTGTGGTCGGTTGTGATCTAGGTAGTGGTAGTTATCTGACAGTGTGATTGTGATTCTAGTGTAGTGTGGTTGTGCATTAGGTAGTGGGATTGTGATTACGGTCATAGCTGCTGGTTGTGATCTAGGTAGTGGTTGTGATCTAGACAGTTGTGATTGTGATCTGAGGTAGAGTGTGGTATTGTGATCTAGGTAGTATGGTTGTGATTAGGTAGTATGGTTGTGATTTAGGTAGTGTGGTTGTGGATCCTAGTGTGTGGTAGTGTGATTGTGATTGGGAAGTGTGGCTGTGATCTAGGTAGTGTGGCTGGATGGTTCTAGCGTAGCGTGGTTGTGATCTAGGATAGCGTGGCAGTGGTCTAGTAGCGTGGCTTGTGGTCTAGGTTAGGTGGTTTTTTTTGTGATCTTAGGTAGTTGTGGTTGTGATCTAGGTATGTAGTTGTGATTCGAGGTTTAGTGTGGTTGTGATCTAGGTAGTGTGGAAGTGACAGGAAGTGATCTGGGAAGTGTGGTGGTGAGTGGAAGTGTGGCTGGTGGGTCCTAGGTAGTGTGGTTGTGAGCTAGGTTAGTGTGGTTGTGTTATAGGTTGTGTGGTTGTGATCTAGGTAGTTGGTTGTGATCTGGGAAGTAGTGGTTGTGATTTGGGAAGTGTGGTTGTGATCTAGGTAGTGTGGTTGTGATCTAGGTAGTGGTTGTGATCTAGACAGTGTGATTGTGATCTAGGTAGTGTGGTTGTGATCTAGGTAGTGGTTGTGATCTAGACAGAGTGTGTTTGCTGATCTAGGTAGTGTGGTTGTCGATCTAGGTTAGTGTGGTTGTGATCTAGGTCTAGTGGTTGTGGTTCTAGACAGTGTGATTGTGATCTAGGTAGTGTGGTTGTGATCTAGGTAGTGGTTGTGATCTAGACAGTGTGATTGTGATCTAGGTAGTGTAGTTGTGATCTGGGTAGTGTGGTTGTGATCTAGGTAGTGTGGTTGTGATCTAGGTAGTGTGGTTGTGATCTAGATAGTGTGGTTGTGATTTAGGTAGCATGGTTGTGATCTAGGTAGTGTGGTTGTGATCTTGGTAGTGTGGTTGTGATCTAGGTGGTGGTAGTGATCTAGACAGTGTGGTTGTGATCTAGACAGTGTGGTTGTGACCTAGTTAGTGTGGTTGTGATCTAGGTAGTGCGGTTGTGATCTAAGTAGTGTGGTTGTGATTAGGATAGTGTAGTTGTGATCTAGGCAGTGTGGTTGTGATCTAGGTAGTGTGGTTGTGATCGAGGTAATGTGGGTTGTTGTCTATGTAGTGTTTGTGAATCTAGGTAGAGGTAGTGGTTGTGATCTAGGTAGTGTGGTTGGTGACCTAGGTAGTGTGGTTGTGATCTAGGTAGTGTGGGTTGTGATCTGGGTAGTGTGGATATGATCTAGGTTAGTGTTATGGTTGTGATCTAGGTAGTGTAGTTGTGATCCAGGTAGTGTGGTTGTGATCTAGGTAAGTAGCTGTGATCTAGGTAGTTGAGACGTTGTGAATCTAGGTACGGTGCGGTTGTGTTAGAGTAGTGTGGTTGTAATCTATGTAGTGGGTAGTTGTGATCTAGGCAGTGTGGTTGTGATCTAGGTAGTGTGGTTGTGATCTGGGTAGTGTGGATATGATCTAGGTAGTGTGGTTGTGATCTAGGTAGTGTAGTTTTGATCAGGTAGTGTGGTGTGATCTAGGTAGTAGCTGTGATCTAGGTAGTGTGAGTTGTGGATCTAGGTTAGTGCGGTTATGATCTAGGAGTGTGTGGTTGTGATTGGTAGTGTAGTTGTGATCTAGGCAGCGTGGTTGTGATTTAGGTATTGTGGTGTGATCGAGGTATGTGGTTTGTTGGTCTATGTAGTGTTAGTTGTGTCTAGGTAGTGTGGTTGCTGATCTAGGTATGGTTTGTGATATAGGTAGTGTGGTTCTGTGACCTAGGGTAGTGTGGTTGTGTGGTCTAGGTAGTGTGGTTGTGACCCTGGTAGTGTGGGTTGGATCAGGGTAGGAGTGTGGTTTTGTGATCTAGGTAGTGTAGTGTGATCAGGTAGGTATGTGTGGGTTTGAATTAGGTAGTAGTTGTGATCTAGGTTGTGTGTGTTGTGATTAGGTAGTGTAGTTTCTGAATTCGAGGTAGTGTGCTGTTTCTATAGATAGCCACCAGTGTGATCTGGTTAGTGATGTTGTGATCTAGTTAGTGTTGTGCTTTAATTACTGTTGTTTTGTTTAGTTATTATGATACAAGGCTAAGAATGTTGTAGTTGCTCTCTAGTTAGTGTGGTTGCAAACCTAGAGTCAGTGTAATTCGATATTTTATTGTTTAAAGAGCATTTCTCTTGCACGATTGTGGTAAATAATATCGTCTTTTCCAACTTGAGAACTTATTTTAAGTAACGCGGATCTGAGCCGTTCAGGGACCCAGTCTGGTTGTGAAAGTATTTTTTGTTTCTGATGAGTACGGAAAGAGTACGAAGAATTGTTCGTTCAGGAAATCAGAACGTTATCATTATAATTAATGTTTCAGACAACGGAGGGGGAATTCTAGATCTTAGCAATAAGCGGACTTCACGGTACTTACGATCATCTAATAGAATCATTGAGATACAGTTCCTGATCTCAATGATCTTGTGATGATGATATATTACAGACACTAACCCCTCAAGGAAGGCTCCTTGATGTTGGTGAGGGGCTCTTGATTTAGGGAATTGGATCTGTGCTCCAGTTCCCCAAATTAAGCCTGAATGCCTTCCACACCCCCCCCCCCCCCAGGCGCTGTATAATCCTCCGGGTTTAGCGCTTCCCTCTTGATTATAATAATAATAATACAGACACTAAAATTGGATTAACTGTAACTTACCCCATTTTTTCGGTGTGACCATTATCCAAAAAGTGACTGACATTTTTAGAAGTTCCGCATCATAGAACCTGTCAAACAGCTCGCCACGCTATTGTCACCTATTGCCAAAAATGTCAATAGATTGCATAATAAAAAATGTTGAAATATATTATGTTTTCAGGACTTTTTTGGGGAGAAAATAAAATCAATAAAAACAGTGCGGTATAAAATATCACAAATCATCACAGGGTATTTGTAGAACCATCATTACTCAATATTGTGTGCAAAAATCATGACACTCCTATTAATACTTTTCGAAAAAATGGAAAATAATGTTAACTTATTTCTGAGTTATACATATATATTATTTTCTGTAAAACTCTACGGTCACGGCGCGCCAAATCTCGGTATGTTGCACACCTCAACACATGTTGACAGCCCATAGGTGACTGAGCTGTTGTTACTCCTTGCATTTAAATGGAGTCCTCAGAGATTTTTTTTTAACAAAGGGTCTGGCAAGGTTAAGGATCCTTAGCTTTAGTAACAAGCTATTTACAGGTTAAGGATTCCTAACTTTATTGGCAAGCTAAGAGCTGTTACCTACATCAGCTCAATTGAAAGCATTTTTGTTATGAGACATACAAGTAGGGAACAGGATGAAGTTGGAGCCATCTATGGGCCAGCATTTTCATTTGATCAACTGACTTTATCTCGTTGACATCATTATGCTGTACAAATGTGTTCCATACTCGAGTCATCCTGCAGTGTAGTGTATTTAGAACGAAACAATCATAAAAATCGTAATTTTTGTAGAAAAAACACTAATTGTCATCATGTCTTTTTTATGAGATCAAAAACAAAAAAAAATACATTTTTGGAAAAACATACTTAGAAATATGA